TAATACACTCCACTTGAGTATAATACAATATAATACACTTCCAACGAATGACAGTATACTAACTGTAATGAACTTCAGTTGAGTGACTGTATACTAATCAGAATACACTTCACTTGAATGACAGTACACTAACTATAATACACTTCAAGAGAGTGACAATATACAAAGTGTAATACACTTTACTTCAGTGACAGTACACTAACTGTAATACACTCCACTTGAGTGACAGTATACTAACTAGAATACACTTCACTTGAGTAACAGTACACTATAATACACTTCAATCGAGTGACAATATACTAACTGTAATTCACACCACTTGAGTGACAGTATACTAACTAGAATACATTCCACTTGAGTGACAATATACTAACTAGAAAACACTCCACTTGAGTATAATACGATATAATATACTTCAAGTGAATGACAGTATACTAACTGTAATGAACTTCAGTTGAGTGACTGTATACAAATCAGAATACACTTCACTAGAGTGATAGTACACTAACTATAATACACTTCACTTCAGTATAATACACTTCAAGTGAGTGACAATATACAAAGTATAATACACTCCACTTGAGTGACAGTATACTAACTAGAATACACTTTACTTCAGTGACAGTACACTAACTGTAATACACTCCACTTCAGTGACAGTATACTAACTATAATACACTTCACTTGAGTGACAGTATACTAACCAGAATACACTTCACTTGAGTGATAATACATTAACTGTAATACATTCCACTTTAGTGACAGTACACTGTAATACACTTCACTTGAGTGATAGTTCACTGTAATACACTTCAATCGAGTGACAATATACTAACTGTAATACACTCCACTTCAGTGACTAACTAGAATACACTTTACTTCAGTGACAGTACACTAACTGTAATACACTCCACTTGAGTGACAGTTTACTAAAAATAATACACTCCACTTGAGTATAATATGCTATAATACACTTCAAGCGAGTGACAATATACTAAATGTAATACATTTCAGTTGAGTGACAGTATACTAACCATAATGAACTTCAGTTGAGTGACTGTATACTAATCAGAATACACTTCACTTGTGTGACAGAACACTAACTAGAATACACTTCACTTGTGTGACAGAACACTAACTATAATACACTCCACTTGAGTATAATACAATATAATATACTTCAAGCAAATGACAGTATACTAACTGTAATGAACTTCAGTTGAGTGACTGTATACTAATCAGAATACACTTCACTAGAGTGATAGCACACTAACTATAATACACTCCACTTCAGTATAATACACTTCAAGTGAGTGACAATATACTAACTATAATACACTTCACTTGAGTGACAGTATACTAACCAGAATACACTTCACTTGAGTGATAATACATTAACTGTAATACATTCCACTTGAGTGACAGTACACTGTAATATACTTCACTTGAGTGACAGTACACTGTAATATACTTCACTTGAGTGACAGTTCACTGTAATACACTTCAATCGAGTGACAATATACAAAGTATAATACACTCCATTTGAGTGACAGTATACTAACTGTAATACACTTCACTTGAATGACAGTATACTAACTGTAAACACTGGACTTCAGTGACAGTATACTAACTGTAATACACTCCACTTGAGTGACAGTATACTAACTGTAATACACTCCACTTGAGTGACAGTATACTAACTGTAATACACTCCACTTGAGTGACAGTATATTAATTGTAATACACTCCACTTGAGTGACAGTATACTAACTGTAAGACACTTCACTTGAGTGACAGTATATTAACTATAATACACTTCACTTGAGTGACAACATATGAAACTAGAGTATGGGATCATGGTCCTCATATATCACAAGATGAACTATAGTGGAGTCAACATAATTGATACAGCAATCAATGAAATATGGTCTCTTCGTGACACAAGATTAAATATAATTGTACTCAACAGGTAAAGCAGTAAAGGAACATGGTCTCTATATAACAAAATATGAGTTTTTATAAATCTTAGAATAGTGGACAGGTGCCAGAAGATTTGAACTTAGCTAATGTTACTCCTCTTTTCAAGGGAGGTGATAAAAATTGTCTCAGTAACTGTAGGTCTGTTAGTCTTGCATCAGTGGTATGAAAAATTTTTGAAAATCTAATAAAAGATATTTTGTAAAGTAACTTGATAAAGTTTAAGATTTTGTTGGACAGTGAGTACAATTTTTCTAGTTGAAAATCTTGCATTACTAATGTTTTCACATTCTTTGAAGAAGTTGCTGCTTACATAAATCAGGGTACAGGTGTGGATTTGTTGTATACAGATTTTCAAAATGCATTTAACAAGGTGCCACAAAAAAGGCTTATTAAAAGTTATCCCTGTAGGTATGGTGAATAAGTTATCTAATTGGATAGAAATCTGGCTAGATGGAAGAATGTAGTGGGTTGTTATAAATGGAGTTTGATTAAATTTGATTAATTATTGGGCTCAGTGTTAGGATCTTTGATCTTTTTGATTTACATGAATGGAGGAATAGTCAATAGATAGATCATTTAAATTTGCTGATGATATTAAAGTTTTATGTGTTGCAGGCTGCGAGGATGCTGCTGCTTTACAAAAAGATTCGGATTATTTGATGAGTTAGGCAAATAAATGGGAGGTGGCTTTTAGTTATAATAAATACAAGATATACATGTGGAATAACATACTTTGAATTATAAGTATAATTTGGATGGGAATAACCTTAACAGTGTCATGTAATAGTTGATCAGTCTCTTAAGCCATCCAAACTAGTGGTAGGGCAAATAGGATTTTATGTAGTATCTACAGAAATAATGAATACAAGTCTAACTAGGTTATAATGCCATTATGTTGCTGTTTAGGCTACATTTGGAATATTGTGTTCAGTCTCGAGCTCCTTACCTTAGAAAGGACATTGAATTTTTGGATAGGGTTCAGAGAAAGATTACTAGGATGATACCTGGGATAGAAACATTGTCATTAGAGAATAGTTAAGATCTCTGAAATTGTTTTCTGTTTGAAAAAGATGAGTTAAAGGAGATTTAATGATGACGAAAAACCCACTTGAAGTAAAAATGTATAGTAGAGACAGCTTTCAAACTGTCTTTGTTAACCTGAAGATGACCTAAGAAGGTCAAAACATTGTTCTTGCACTGTATATTAATTAAAGTTTTTAATACCCATACCAGCTGTCTGCTATACATTTATAGAAGATTTGATTAAGTTGGTTAATATTGTTAAGGGAACTGATAATGTTGAAGCATCATTTATAGAAGATTTGATTAAGTTGGTTAATATTGTTAAGGGAACTGATAATGTTGAAGCATCATTTATAGAAGATTTGATTAAGTTGGTTAATATTGTTAAGGGAACTGATAATGTTGATGCATCATTTATAGATTTGATTAAGTTGGTTAATATTGTTAAGGGAACTGATAATGTTGATGCATCATTTATAGAAGATTTGATTGAGTTGTTTAATATTGTTAAGGGAACTGATAGCGTTGATGCATCATTTATAGATTTGATTAAGTTGGTTAATATTGTTAAGGGAACTGATAATGTTGATGCATCATTTATAGAAGATTTGATTGAGTTGTTTAATATTGTTAAGGGAACTGATAGTGTTGATGCATCATTTTTCATACTTAATGGTAAGAGTAGTAAGACTAGGTGACATAAATATAAATTTGGCAGGATAGGCTAGGAGTCATCTTCAGCTAAGACAGTTTAATTTTTCTAACAGGATGGTTTTTCTTTGGAATGGGTTGCCTTCAGACATGGTGGATGCAACAAATTTCAGGGAAGGCTTGATAAATATTTGAATGATAAGGGCAGGCTTTGATTGCTTTATTTATATTCTAGAGTTTAGTACAGTTGATAGGATGGCTTAGATGGACCAATAGGTCCCTTGTTATCCTTAAATTATATGTATGTATATATATATATATACCATACACAGTATAATTGGTACAACAGTAAGAATAACAAGGCTTCCATATAATACATGTCACAAATACAGTCTACAACATAACTACTGGTACAACATTGTAGTGAATTTGGTCTCCTAATAATACAAGACATCCTATACAAAGCATGAATGGTACTGTTTTTTATTTAGTTTTAGCACAAAAATCTGCCTAAAATAAAATGTTCACATAAGCAGATATGATTTCACTACAAGCCACAGTGGGCATTTACACATGGGCTGATAGACCCAGTAACAAGAACAAACATAATGGGTAAATCTTCAATCACAAAACGTATTTTAAAATAGTGATTTATTTTCTGTGATTTAACATTTTTTCTTAGAAAACAGAATTATGCAAGGTAAAAGACAATACTAATTGAAGTACTGTAAAAGTTAAATGTATGTTGGTAAATATTAACGTTAAATTATATATACAAAATATACATATTTATATGAGGCAACTCCAAAATAAATAATACTTGTTTGCACAGTCACTTTGTTAAGACTTTACTCTTGTTAACAGTTTCACTACTTCTTTTTTTTTACATAACTTTAACAATATTTCTGTAATACTTTTGGCAAGTAACAAGTGTTTAATGTTATTGTACAAATAATACTTCTTTGTACAATCACCTCTTCAGGCTTAACTTATTAACACTGTTTTCTCTCTTTTTTTTTTTACTCATAACTTACGTAAGTTAATAGGTAAAAAATATACATGGGTTTGTTCTCTGCATCAAATACTTTTCTTTTAATTGAGAGTTTTCCGCCCTATATTTTACACAACTTTATCAATACTTCTTTAAATTTAATACAGTTGAAGCATTAACAAGTGTCTGATGTTGTAGACTCCTCTTCCAAATGACACCCACTGACCCCTTTTCCATAGCGTACTTGTATTTTACACTTTCAGTATAAGCACTAAATACAAATACACAATTTACATATCACATGATGCTTTATTCATTTTTTATTACATAATTAAATTTAAACTATTTTTGAGCATCTTAAGTTTATAACAATTTTTGTTACACTGTACATATTACAATTTACATTTCCAAACGTTCAATATACTGCTTTTGTATTCACAATATTTTTATCTGTACAGCAATACACCTAAGATTTATGATAATCTAGTTAAATTACCTGATAAGGATGCAGATCTACTTGCTATAAGTATAAATCACAAGGTCTTTCCATTTTGTTCTGGAAATATGCAAAAAAGTTTAAATTTAATATTAACTCTCAAGTTAGTATTATCAAGTTAACAATATGGACGGTTGGCAAACATAGTAAATATACCAGGAAGCTGGCCTCCCACGGACGCGTATGTACACGTCATTCTTCTAAGTTCTAGTGCACTTTATGGTTTAGTTTTTTAGCCGAATCAATTCTTTCATGAAGACCGTCACAATGTTTGCTTTGCTCCCGTTGCCATAAGCCGAGGTTTAAAACACCAAGATTTGGTATCTGCATAATTTTCTCAAGACCTACAGTTGTGATCTTGGTACAGCCGTACAGGTCTATACACTGCAGGTGATGAAGATTTTCTGCGATGTGACTAAGTCCTTTATCTGTGACCCTACAACACTGACCAATGTTTAGAGTATGTAGATCTGATAACGTGCGTGCTACACGACTGAGACCTTCATCGCTGATTGGACAAGCGTTAAGACTGAGGCTACGCAGATTAAAACTTTGGGATAAATACAGAAGACCCTGGTCACTTACCTTATCACAAAAACTCACGTCCAGTATGGTCACCCTTGACCCACCTTCGGCCAAATAAGCCATTCCAATATCTGAAATGTTATCACAGCTACGAAGATTGAGCTCACGTACGGTTGACAACCGCGCTAAATGTTTCAACCCAGAGTCCGTAATACCAGAACAAAAACTGAGATTAACATTTTTCAGGTGCAGTATGCCGTGGCTAAGATATCGTAGGGCTTCATCAGTTATTTTCTGGCAGTCTTGAAGACCCAAGTATTCCAAACTAACTGCTCCATTTCCACAGTCTGGCGACAAACCTGTTAAATCTCCGATTCCTTTATCAGAGACATGGCGACAGCTTCTCAGATTTAACACACGAAGTTTCTTCAGCCCCCACGCGATGAAACGTAGGCTTAAGTTGGTGATGTTACTGCAACCTCCAAGGTACAGTACTTCTAAATGTCTAACATGATGGGCTATACAACTCAGACTGGAATCTGTAATTTGTTTACACATACTGAGGTTAAGGACTGTGAGTGATTGTACATCGTGGTCCAGAGCATAATTTAACCAAGAGTCTGTCAGATTGTAACATCCGGTCATATTAAGAGATTCCAAGTTTGGTAATCCTTGCACAACGTCCCGTAGACTTCTACGTAGACTGAGCACCTGTACACGGCGGATACCTCGTCGTACAAGACTTGGGAACAAAGACGGGTTAGAGCGCCTCAAGTGTAGACGAGCTTCTACTCCTCGCCATACGGACTTGTGATAAGCGGCTTCCCGCCAGGATTTACAAACCTGTGCGGCACGACCCTTGTCTCTAACGTCAAGGTAGCCAAATATAAGGGCTAAGATCTCCGGATACAAACAAGAAACATGAATTGTCTTTTTAAGCGGACATAAATCCATATCTTCCATAATATTATTTGAAAGAAGCCTAAAAGTAATACTTTAGGCACATTTTCAGATTTCTGTAAACCACTACAATATCGCGTAACAGTCCTTCCTTCCCTAACGCTTTCACACTCATAGTTCGAGAATATACGAGAAAATGATGACGTTGATTTTCTCAGTGTGATTGGTCTATTTCAATTTAAGCGCGAAAAATTCTCAAGGCTTTCAGCGAACATAGATTTTGCACGTTTTTCAATTATTTTTTTGTTAAATGCTGTGTATTGACTTTAGCATGTACATGACGTTATAAACGCGCCAATATTAGAATATTTCAACAGCAAATAAGAGTAACACCTAACAAAATCAAAGTGTTTGGTTTAGTATGTGTAGTTAAAATGTAGTTACGCGTCTATCATACTGGCAACGTTTTGTTTCCTTAGACCCTATTATTTATTTAGTTGTGGATGATCTTACACAGATGTAGTGCCGTGTTTGTGCATTGCATGCATATCCAAAACAACGCTATCTCAAACGAGACCTTATCTGGAGTTGAATTTTCCAGTAATCGATGTGATATTAATTTAAATTATACATCAAACTTTCACCACAAAAATTCCCTTTTCTTTTTGCTTGTTAGTATTTTTTTCTAAATATTTACCAATTTTTTCGCCCCTAAGATTTTCCGGTGAATTCTTAATAATTAAAATATCATTCCTTATGTGTGTGTGTGTGTGTGTGTGTGTTTGGAGTACAAAAAACAGTTTTTATAGTACATAAAGCATATGCACCATTATGCGCAATGCAGACGTTACATATGGAACAAGCGAACAGCTATCTTCATCAACGATAAAAATAAATGTTTCCAAAAACAGTCAAAGTTACCACAGATTATAATGCAGGCTTCACAACAAAAAGCGTGCTGAAAAGCATGCTTTAAGTTTACGCTTGGTTTGACCAATGTCTTATGTGCCAGTTAATTTAGGTTTCAGTTGATGTTCAAGAGTTTATATTATACTGACTTAAGTAAATGAACACAATTTCTCAAATACTTGTAAGATATTTCTTGTTAATTTGTTTTTCATACATGTATCCACAACCACCACAGTGCGTATGACTTCGGAGCCAACATGTGTCTGTAATCTGGTCTTATGGTAGTGAATATAATATCACTTCAGAGTCACGTCTGTTACATGTGTTCGAAATCTGGTGTAATGGTAGTGAATATAATATCACTTTAGAGTCAGGTCTGTTACATGTGTCTGTAATCTGGTCTCATGGTAGTGAATATAATATCACTTCAGAGTCACGTCTGTTACATGTGTCTGTAATCTGGTCTCATGGTAGTGAATATAATATCACTTCAGAGTCACGTCTGTTACATGTGTCTGTAATCTGGGGTAATGGTAGTGAATATAATATGACTTTAAAGCCAGGTCTGTTACATGTGTCTGTAATCTGGTGTAATGGTAGTGAACACAATATGACTTCAAAGTGAAGTCTGTTACATGCAACAATAATCTGGTGTATTGATAGTGAATATAATATGACTCAGAGTCAGGTCTGTTACATGTGTTTGTAATCTGGTGTAATGGTGAACATAAAATGACTTGAGAGTCAGGTCTGTTACATGTGTTCTTAATCTGGTGTAATGGTAGTGAACATAACATGACTTCAGAGTCAAGTTTGTTACGTGTGTCTATAAACTAGTGTAATGGTAGTGAATATAATATGACTTCAGAGCCTGGTCTGTTACACGTGTCTATAATCTGACGTAATGGTAGTGAATATAATATGACTTCAGGGTCAGGTCTGTTACATGTGTCTGTAATCTGGTGTAATGGTAGTGAATATAATATGACTTCAGATTCAGGTCTGTTACATGTGACTTTAATCTGGTGTAATGGTAGTGAATATAATATGACTTCAGAGTCAGGTCTGTTACATGTGTCTGTAATCTGGTGTAATGGTAGTGAACATAATATGACTTCAGAGTCAGGTCTGTTCATGTGTCTGTAATCTGGTGTAATGGTAGTGAATATAATATGACTTCAGAGTCAGGTCTGTTACATGTGTCTGTAATCTGGTGTAATGGAAGTGAGTTACTACCATTACGTCAGATTATAGACACGTGTAACAGACCTGGCTCTGAAGTCATATTATATTCACTACCATTACACTAGTTTATAGACACACGTAACAAACCTGACTCTGAAGTCATGTTATGTTCACTACCATTACACCAGATTACAGACACATGTAACAGACCTGACTCTGAAGTCATATTATCATATTATATTCTGTAACAGACCTGACTCTGAAGTTATGTCTAATCTGGTGTAATGGTAGTGGACCTAAAATGACTTCAGAGTCAGATCTGTTACATGTGTCTGTAATCTGGTGTAATGGTAGTGAATATAATATGACTTCAGAGCCAGGTCTGTTACATATGTTTGTAATGGTGGTAAACATAACCTGACTTCAGAGTCAGGTCTGTTACATATGTCTGTAATCTGGTGTAATGGTACTGAACATAATATGACTTCAGAGTCAGGTCTGTTACATGTGTCTGTAAACTAGTGTAATGGTAGTGTAAAGTGTGATTACATTCAGATGTCTGTTGGTTTAAGCTGTGATTACATACAGATATCTGTTGGTGTAAGCTGTATTATTTATAGATATGTGTTGGTGTAAACTGTGATTACATACAGATATCTTATTGTTGAACTTCAGCCTAATCCTACATTAGCGAAAAGATAAACTTTACAACAATTTGAATTAATCTTATTGTTGAACTTCAGCCTAATCCTACATTAGCGACACGATAAACTTTACAACAGTTTAATTTATCTTATTCTTGAACTTCAGCCTAATCCTACATTAGCGACACTCTAAACTTTACAACAATTTGAATTAATCTTATTGTAGAACTTCAGCATAATCCTACGATAGCGACAAGATAAACTTTACAACAATATGAATTAATCTAATTGTAGAACTTCAGCCTAAGCCTACATTAGCGACACGATAAACTTTACAACAATTTTAATTTATATTACTGTAGAACTTCAGCCTAAGCCTACATTAGCGACACAATAAACTTTACAACAATTTTAATCTATCTTATTTTGGAACTTCAGCCTAAGCCTACATTAGTGTCACGATAAATTTTACAACAATTTTAATTAGTCTTATTGTGGAGTTTCAGTGAGTGCGACAATCTTTTCTCAATGCGCCAAAGAATGTAATCTTTCTATTCGGATATAACATGTGAGACTGCGCAATGCGTATAAACAATTATACACCTGTTTCTCGGTAAATAACGGGCTGTTTAGTGACACATTCCTGTTTTTTTTTAGTTATTTCCTTACTATTGTTACGCCTCCGTTGGTTAGTTAATTTTCCGTTAAAATTCTTTCCGAAGAAACTTTAGCGATGCAAGTCCTTTCTTAAATAAAACTGGTTTATTCTTTCTGAATACAACTTTGCAATACACTTAAATTCCACAGTCGCGCTATAACAAACGCTATAATTCACAAGAAACGTCTCACGTGCTCGACTCAACTGTCAATTACACATATAGTTGCCGTCACTTCTTGGCGGCTTATATATACAAGACTACCGCATATCTAGTAGCGTCTTGAGACTTCGGGAAGGGACGTGAACGTTCGAGAATATGACGTGTTACTAGCGTCACGTGACCCCCGCTGTCGTGACACTGCCCCTTCCTTAGTATTGTTCGTCCCGAACAATAGCCACTTACACTAAACCAATAAACAATTAACAATAACTTAATTAATTGTACAGAATTTACAAACACAAAATTAAAATTCAACAAAGTCTCTTAATTTTACGGGACGTATCTTCTTCCATACTGGTCTCCGTCTCATTGGCTTCTGTTCATGTGGGGTTCATCTGCTTCATCAGGAAACGTCCTATCATTGGTAACAGTCACATCAGTGGTAGTAACTTCATCAAGGGCTTCACTGTTTCCCTTCTCAAAACTGAGTAGAGTTTCTTCCTCGACGGTGGCTTCTTCAGGTGGCACTTCTTCAGCAGCGTCATTTGTTCTGTTGTCTATTTTGTCCCAACTGAAATGTCCTGGACCGTGATAACGCCAAAGCCTGTTGGCATGCACCACTTTTGGCTTACCTCGCCGACCACATTTTATCCGGAGTGTCACGTCTGAGAGACGATCCACTATGTCATATGGGCTTAAGACAACTTAAGAAACTTCCCTTTGGTCTTCCTGGGATTATACAGCCACACCTTGTCTCCTGGTACAAAGCTAGATCTCTTATCATAAGATAACTTCATCGAATCAGCAGATGTTTTCAAGTTTGAACGCACTTGATGGTGAATATCATCCATCCTTTCCGATAACATTTTCACAAACTCTGACACATTTTTAGGCAACTCTTCCTAAGGTGGGCGTCCTCTTAACAGATCCACTGGCAACCGAAGTTCCCGACAAAACATCAATTTTGCTGGAGTGTATCCAGTGGCTTCATGCTCTGCTACATCCGTTGATTTGAATGTCACAGCACTTAAGTCAACTACAATACCTATATGAGAGAGAAGATAATTTGGGGTAGGATAAAAGAACATCCCCAAGGAAGTCCAATGCTTGTGGAAGCAGTGGAAGACCCATCTAGGCCAGCGGACTTGAAGATTGGAAGATCACTTGTGGCAAGTCATCAAGTAGTACCTATAACAGTGGCCAATTTCTTTAAATGTGAGCAGACACTTAAGGAAGGGGCATTATTGGGTGTGTGCCAGGAGGTAGAGCCAGTCAATGTTAAAGCATGAAATACAACTATAAAGAAAGGATCTACACTTCCACAACATTTAACTGATCTCTATAAGAAGAGCATAGTCCATTTGGCATCATCACAGGCTCTGCAGGTAAAATAACTTTTGGCGAATTATGCAGACGTCTTTTCGAAAGGAAATCATGACCTCGGCTGCACAAACCTTGTAGAGCACAGAATAAACACAGGCAATCACCATCCAATAAAGATCCCTCCGAGGAGAATAGCTCTGGCAAAGCGACAAGAGATAGAAAAGGTCATGGATGGCCTAATTAAGGAAGGGATAGTTGATAAATCA